AGGAATTGACAAGCTTGATGGCAGCATTCAGGCTGTCAAGACAATTATGTTTGGATTTTAGAAAGTGCTGGAAAGGAACAAGATGACAAAATTAATTTCCATGTTTAAACAGCTCCTAATGGAGGATAGGGGTAGGACACACAACATTGTCCATACAACACTTTTAAAGAAATAACACATAAACAATTATTAATAAGATTAAAAAGGTATTTTAATCTTCCACTTTTTTTTTTTTTAATTCCTTTAATCTCGTGGTGACAGTTGTTACTCTGGTGTGTGTTTACACTGGCAGCCATCTTTTCAGGAAGCGTATGCCAAAGACTGAAGTCAGAGTTTGAGCGAAGATACGTGTTGTGCTTCGGTTTGTTTCAAGCAATTTCTGTATTTTGCATGTAAGCTCAATAGAAATCCTCTGCTGAAAAAGAGGATGGAGTGTGCATCTTCGGGAAGGATACTCAATTAGCCTTAAAAAGCTTTAGAAAGCACTGGCTATTGGGTACTTCACTGTATGTGTTTAAATTGCAGGCAAACTAATTCATCAAGTATACAATTTCATAGCTGAAACAACTGCCTGGCTTGAAGAAAATCTTATTTTTCTTCAATTCTGTTTTCAGGGCAGCCAATAAATGCTTTTAAAGCTAACTGCTGCTGTGATTTTGAGTATTTCTCTGGTGAAGGTACTTCAGCATTTCTCAGTATTACTAGTAGAACAGTTTTGAGAAAAATGTACTTAATGCACAAAGCACACTTATCCTTTAAATTTACCATATTAGCTTTCAATCATTAGGCCTTGAGTGCATGGACTTTCTGGATTGCCAGTCAGAACATCCGTAATTTTCCTGTTATACAAGCTGGCAGCAGCAGCACTGTTCATTTGAGCAGCTGGGAAGGGAGCAATAACAATTGAAGCTTATCTGCAAAATGAGACTAGGTATTTTGCCTTTTTAATAACAGTGTGTATTCTCCGTCATCCGCTGTTTCTCTCCTGCAGAATCTTCTTCGTGTTCCTCTTCATAGTTTGCATTTCAGTGCCACCTTTAATTTCATGTAACGTTTTTGGCAGTATTTCATGCTAATAAGTTGCGGACTATCTTCAGAACTTGAGATCTAATATGATGCTGTACTCAGGATGGTGTAGAGGATTCCTCAGTTTACTTCACACTTTATTTACAGTGTCAGAAAATAAGGACATGCTAAGTTAAGTATTTCTGAAAATTAGTTGCAAGGATCCTTTACTAGCCTTGGGAGTTTGAGATTCATAGACAGAGAAATTATTCTTAATGTTTGGCAGAAGATGGGACAACTTTCTGTTCTCACTGTGCTTCAGTTGTCTTGCCTGTTTAGAAGAATGGTGCAAATGCACTTATGCTCTTTATGAGACCAGTAATTGTGAATTTTCTGGCTACACAATGTAGGTTAAGCACATGTTCTGTGGACCGGTTCATTGGTTTGGTTCATCTGGTACCTGTGTGTAGTGAGATGCAACCTGGACTTTTTGTACTCTGTTGAATTACAGATCTGGGTAGACTCCTGCAATGTGCAAAAATTTTCACCGTCTGGAAAAGTCTGCTTTTTAGGCTTGTATGGCTTGTACCCTAGTCCTTTTGCAGCTTTTAACCCATCTGTCCACTGATGCAAAAGATCTGATAATGTTGTTACAATTTCCTCTGGTGAACTCTCAAAAACGCACCAAAGGCCAAAGACTCTTTACTACTGAAATTGGTATGAAACACTTAAAATAGGTAGTTGGCAGAAAAGTATTTACAATGTCTGAAATGAATTTATAATGTTCTAAAGACGGTTCAAAATGAAATGATGAGTTGGATTAGAGAGAGGTCCTCTTTTATATACAACTTTAAATAATTTTAAAAATCAGATATTATTCAAATAGTTACTTCGTTATTTTGTTTCCAGTCACACTAAAGGGGACATAGGAGATAAGACATTTCTGTAACAAGCTTTCATAAATCCTTTTAAGGAAATGTATCTGCTTTGTACCTTCCACCAAATTCCTTTAAAATGTTTTGGCTAGCTGTTTTAATTGAACATTGAGACAGACAGAAGAACTGCCATGTCATGTAGTCTTGGACTGCTAGCTGAAAGTGGCATTGGATCTCCTGGAAGGCTAATATTCCGCTGAAGAAAAAGAAGAAATAGGAACACTGACCTTCATAGCATAGTTAGTGTCACAGACGTTTCAGGCCTCTGAGAAACCCCAGAGCCTCTCGAAGGGTGGATGCAAACTGCACGTATTGTTACTGCTGCCCAGAGAAAGCTGTTTCTGTGGGAGAGGCTGCAGCCTCCTTCGTCTCATTGAACAAACCTAATTTGTTAGCTCATTGACTAAAACACCAGGATCTGCTTCTGGGGGAGCCGGAAGGGATGATGCGAATTCAACTCTCAAGTGTCTCTTCTCCCTGTCTGACGGAAAGTTAATACTTCAGGTCTCCGAAAAAGGAGGCAGAAAAGCTAGTGGGTTTAGAGGCACTAAATGTAAAACACAGCCCCATCATGTTTTAGTCAGATTTTCTGAATTATGGAGCCCTTGTTAATTTTGCTATTGTTTTTGTTTGTCTTCATTTCCCAGCCTTCCTAAGATCAAAGACAGTCAAGTGACTTGTCTCACATGGGGCAGGCTGCGCAGAAAGAGTGTATGCAGCAGAGTCAGCAACTGTAGAAAATGGTATTTCTCTCCAGCTGCAGAATTGGGGCCCTCATTATGCCTTGTGGCAAAGGGTCACACGGGACATCTAGTTGTTGTCTTCAGAAGGTTAATGATTCCCAGAGTCTTTCTCATTCTCATTGCAAGATAGGGAGCAAGTACTTTAGGGAGAGTCACTAACCAAATACTGGGTTACATAACTATTTTATGGAAGGACACACATTTGCTAGCAACCTTAAATGTTTTATATAGATGTGTGTTGTTCAGAGATTTGCATTTTTTTTTTTTTTTAATTTGGCTCTCATGCGAACCTAATTGACTCTTGAGTGAAGTTACTTTCTGAGAGATAATAGACCTCTTAATACTTTTTTTTTATATTTCTATATACAAACAGTTGTCATAATTTTAAATACTCCAAAACATTGTATGTTATTGTAGAAGAGCATTCATCTGACTACTTCCTGTGCATGGTCCAAACATGCAAACAGCTCAAATCACATATACGGGTCTCCCTACCTTCCAAGTGAAAGAACAGAATTCCTTCTGCAAGCCAAATAATATATTCTGAAAGTTAAGAAACGCTCTCTGTGGGATTATAGCCCAAGTTCAGTGCAGTCGTCACAACTCCTGCCACGAACCAAATCTGTTTAAAATAAACAGGGAGAAGGACATATTCAGTCTTGCATAAGCAGCAATTTTGAAACTACTGAACATGGATCTCATATATGAAGACAGCGATGCTTGTCGCTGAAGTGAAAGAGTCAAAAAGGCATGCTTGCGTGGCAGTGGGATAATTGTCTCTTTCCTACAAAGTCAGGCTCATTATCCAAAATGTCAGAAAGGAATGTTGCATTTCTACTTAGGGGATATTCTTAATGCGTCAAGTCCATCTGGGTTAAATTTGCTCTTCCACAGAACTAAAATACGGGGGCGGATGTGCAGAATATTGACACTTCCATTCACTTTGAAGGCATCATTTGCTTCTTACTCAGAACAGTGATTTGAGAAACAATTTGTCTTTACATAGATATTCTACATAAAAAGAATTGTTAAAAAAGAGTGAAACTGTAAAGCTAAATATTCCAGAGTCAGAGTATTCCAGAAGTTAGTGTCCTAATTTGTCTCACTTCTGCGTTGTTTTTTAATCTCATTAGATTTATTAAATTGGTTGGGGCACATTAAGTGCACCCCTGGAGCACATCTCCCAGTTTACTTTCATCTGAAATGAATTCAGCTCATGCACTTCAAAACTCCACTGTGTAAACCAAAACACAGTAAGTGGGGACAACCAAGAGATTTCACCTCCAAGGAGGATTGGAATGAAAATCTTCTTGTAGATAGATCCATTGTTTCTTCCTCTGCTATCTTCATGAAATGCATATAACAGAAAAAACTGAACTAATGAGCAGCTATTCAGTAATTTATTTTAACCTTTTGTTCCATGCGTGGCCCAGAGCTGTTTATTGTCTAGTGTTCAAAACCTGCTCTGAATCCAAAATTATTAACATCCTCACCAGTTTTTCTCAGAGTGTTCATCATAACAGTACACACGTGCTTGGGAGGCAGTAAGTTTGCTTGCACTTCATCTTAGTGATGTGAAAGTGTGCAGCAGTTCCCCCTTCTGCAGGCAGTGGCAGACAGGCTAGAGAAGCTAGTGTAAAAGCTAGTGACTCATTTGGGATTCCAAGAGTGAAATTCATCAGGCTTGAGATTTTTTTTAAGGGAGTTGAACATTACTCTTGCTCAAACGTCAGCTGTTCTGACCTCTGTTACAGCTGTGAGTGCCCAGCCTTTCTGCAGATTAGACTCCAGATTGTCAAGCCAGACACTGGTAAAATGAAAGAAAATCATTAATGAACAAACATAAAATAAATAAATAAAAATTAAAAATTGTGTTTGAAGCAAGTTGCCTAGCATCCTGCTGGGAGTCTGAGGCAAGAATGGTGGCAACATTCAGGTGCGCTTGCCATGCTTGCTTTTTTTGTGAAGTCTCTTGTTTCTTTTCCTGCACACTTTCAGCTTTTGCAACAGATGGAAGAGGAGTTATGTGAGGAACGGGTATCTCCAGTGGTCTAGCAGGAGCTGCGCTTGTCTTGGAGCTAGAGTCTTCTGGAAATAAGGTAGCCCTAGAACTAAATGAACTTGGGGCTTCCTGTGGATTTGCATCTTTTGGTTAGTAGGAAGCTTTGGTTGGTCTGATGGAAGCTTTTCCACTGGGCTGAGGTACTTCTGAGGCTCTCCTCCATGTGAATTCTCCTGTCTGTAGTAACACATGAATGGATGTTGCAGT